CCTTTTTAAGAAGGTCCAAAAAGTTGGAGGTGTTTTCAAGACTGTAAGGGACCAAGAACCTTCTGTTCAGGAACAGTTAATGGATTAATGTATCTCCATTTTACGAGACACTGGATGACATGTATGTCATTTTGATAAGCTTTTCCCTAAGAAAAGAAACTCATTCCTTGCTTACTTTCAGACTACGGGGCCCGTACGACATTTTTCCCTACCCCCGTTGAAAATTAGGTGTAAAGGGTTTCACGGTTGGTTGAAGCCGTACTAGTCCCATATTCTTGCCCCGTACTATGGAAATGTAAAGGTGCCTTCTTCCTTCTGAGGTTGCCCTTTCATCCCCAAAAAGAGGAATGGGGTTTTTCAGATTTTTTCCCCTGTAGGTAGGAAGCCCCTCGAAAGCTCAGATGGAAATGTTCTGAGTTCATGTGGGAAAAAAACCATTTGATGCTACTCTCGAAAGCGAGGTAGAGGATCACCGGTTCACTTGTTAGATGAAAAGTGAAGATTCGCCTCGGATCCTTAATGCTCGCTAGGGCTAGCCAAAGCCCAGGCTTCTCTACTGTCCACCCTTTGATTTTCCCTGTTTAAAAGCCTTTAGAAAATTTCAAAGGATCCTTTGAAATTTACAACTAATTGCCTTTCTCGAATTGCCATAATCCCAAAAACAAATAAAGTTATCCAAGGAAAAACTTTTTCATATAAATTTGAAATATAAAAGGTATCTTTGTACAATTTCAGTTTTCAAATTAATTCGTGGATAGTTATTCCATCTTGTTTTTCCCAAGTCAACCCAGAGAGTGTTTTAAAATGGCTCTGACCCTGCAGTCCCGAATTTTGCATCGAAAAACCCTTTAAAATAGAATTGGGGAAAACCTACTTTTGGAAAAAAAATGCCCTCAGAGTCTTTTCCTATGTAGATCTTTTGTAAAGTTTCCCAAACTGTACCCTTCGAGGTCCCGGCGAGTCCCTTTTGGTAAAAATCCTTCTTTCGGTACCTTAAAAGAGTAGCTATTGACATCTTTGGGCCCCTTTATCTCCACTTTCATCGGGGGGGACATGATATATATTAACTTAGTTGATTTGCTTCGATTTTCCCCTGAAGCGTTCCCTTAAGACCATAACTACTAAGGGTGGTAAAACCCTTTTTTCCATTTCCCCGAGTGGGCTCACTAGAAAAATTTTGTTTGACCGTGGGAAAAATTACATCTGATTAAATGAAACCCCTTTTCCAACTTCGGGGAGTAAAGCCTCTCTTCCCCACACCCTATACCCCAGCTGTAATGGGGGTTTGGGCCCCAGCATTCGATTTTAAGTCCATTTTAAGGAAACTTTGCCCCCTTTAAACCAAAGGAGCGGCATCGTTACCTACCTGTGCTTTGTTTGAATGAGGGAATTTCCAGTGACTTTTTGGGGTTTTCACCTTTTGAACTTCTCTATGGTGACAGGCCAGAGGTCCATTGGCCTCCTTCATGATTGTGGACAAATGAGGAGGTAATTTGAGGTTCAGTCTTCTTACCGTTTCTCCTTGACCTTGATCCAAACTTGAGGAGACCTCTGACTATTTTCAAAAAACTTACACTTGTCAAGGACCAGTATAAAACCTATTTTGATTCCAAAAGTGGGAGAATTTTTTTAAAGTGGGGATAAAGTTCTGGTAATTTCCCATCAATCAAATAAATTTTAGTAGCAGGGGAAATGTCCTTTAAAAAGTTTTAAAAAATTTGTGGGTAAGTTGACTACTCATTGAAGTAAGGGGAAACCAAAGTTTTATATATCAACTCCTTAAGAAATATTTCCAAAAGAAATTCGGTTAAATGCCTTAATACTTTGACTTATTTTTTCCCACGAACTTGATAAAACCACGAAGAATGTAAGGTGTGTGTTTTGACCCCTAAAAACTTAGACTATTATAAAAGAAAAATGCTTGGTGATCTTGCCCACTCGGGCAAAACCAACTTAATATTAAGAATCTTTGGTGCCATAGAGCATGAACTTTTCAAGTGTAAAAGTAACTTTTCAGACGTCTTTAAAGATTTTTTCCCAGGTTTTCCCAAATGGTAGTCCAAAAGACTGCTTGTGACGACAACCCTATAAAAGAAAATTATCCCCGTCCGGTTCACTTGGGATGCTTTTGCCGAGAGGTAGAAAAAATTTTTAAAAATGAAGGTCATTAAACCTTAGTTCTGCTATTGCTACGTATCATGGTTAAGAAGGAGGTTTTTTTTTAGCTTGCTATTGACTTCAGAGGCCCGCTATAATCGGTGGGTGTGAGCCTATGCCTTTAGATAGCGATCTACACAAAAAATTTTTGATTTCCTTCTTTCAGAGATTGATATTGCGCAGGCAATCACAAAATAATGTTAGTCCTTTTTCTAAGCAGTGCACCCCCTTTTCTACACACCCAAAGGGCTGACGCAGTATGAACTATGCCCCTTGGGGTTTGGGGAATGCCTGTGTTAGATGATGAGAAAAGGTCTTGGGTAATATGCCAAAAGTTTAGTTTTTTTGATAAAATTTTAAAAAATAAATCCATGTGGGGCGAAATATCCAAACATTAACATCAGTTTTGCGTAGGTTACGCTCACATGGCCCCATGCTAAGCCAAAAAAAAGCTTTTTTGGGTTTTAAAAGATTAGTATCTTGGATGATACTTTTTAATAACTCTCTGCAGCCTCCCCCAGTAAGATCAAAGCTTTTTAGAATTTAAATTCCCCCAAAACCAAGAAGCTAATGCGTGTTTCTTGGTTTTGTAAAATTTTTTGCAGGTTTATCCCGAACCTACTGATCTTACAGGCTTCTTATCCCCAATTCCCTTAAAAAATCTGTGAAGGACCCCTTTAACTTTTCCCCCGTAGCTTGGAAAAAAATTTTTTGAGATTAAAAGTATCTTCTCGAAACCCCTACTTAAGATTCCCGTATTAAAAAAAAAATTTTGTTTGGGACTGATGCCTCCAATATGGCTTAGGGGCAGTGTTACTACAAAACCCTGTGGTACTCCCCCGTAGCTTTCAAGCCCGAAACCCTTCCCGCAGAAAAGAGAACTCCACCCTAAAAAAAAAGTTTGGCCCCGTGTGGGGTACTCCAAACTTAAAATTTTTTTTTCTGAAAAAAGAAATTTTTTTAAACGGACCACAAAAACCCTTTTATATACCAGAAAATTTTAAGGGAACCAGCAGTGCCTCTTGAGGTGGACATTGACATCCCGACTTTTAAGTTCCTTTTTGTGTATTCTGGTTTATCCCAAATTTTTTCTCTGATGGTTTGTCGTGACAGTCAGTGAAAATTTTTTGCCTTACAGACTTTTCCCCTGTTAGAACTTTTTTCCCCGCCCATTTTCTTTACTCCTTGATATAAAGTCTTGGTATGGGGTAGTGTGAGGGAAAAAATTAATAGATGGAGTAGCGAGGGAGTTTTTATAACAATGTTTCATTGCCCGGTACTTGTTAAGGTAGGGTAAGTCCCCCTCCCCCTATTCCCCCCCCCCTTTTTCCCTCCCTGAAAATGAATTTTAGTGCTGGCTGCTTGTTAAAAGGGAGGGTCAGTCTAGTCCCCTATCCCTTCCCTCCCTCTTTTCCCCCCCCCCCTGAAAGGTAAAGGTGGGGTCCGGTCAAACAGAAAATCACTGACCCAGCTCCCAACATCTGTAAGTCAGCTGACCTTTTTAGTGGACTTTTTGGTTTTAAAGCTTCCTTTTTACCCAAAAATTAACTTGTCCTTTCAGTCTTTATAAATTAAAATGTTTTAAAATTTTCACACATCTTTTAGGTATTGAACTTTTTCATGGAAGTGATTTTTAAGCAGTGGGTAATCGTCTTCTTTACAGCTTGGAGTGGGCAGGAGGGGCACCGCTAATCCCTGAGTGAATTGAAGGAGACGGCTAACGTTCTGAGAGTCCCCAAAATTTTTTATTCCCCTTACCCGTTTTTGTTTAAAGTGCGGAGGATTAAAATTCATCTTGCAGTGGAGAAAACTTTTCTTTCTGTGTCTGGAGTTATTGACGGTATTAAAAATTTTTGAAAAACGAGTGGTGGTTGTCACCAAAAACTGGCCCCCCCCATATCGCAACGGCCCACGATTTCAACAACACGCGTGTCACCAACACCCGACACCCCAAATTTTATATTTTATATTTGTGTTGAATTAGTTTCTTTTTTTTTTTCATTTTTTTTTTTTAAGGTTGGTTAATATTTCATATTTAGGTTTTATATTTTTTATTTTTTATAAAAAAGTGTTTTTTTGCGTTTTTTTCTTTTTTATTCATTTAAATTTTTCCCGGGGGAGCCCGCCCTTGGTAATACTGTCTGAAGAGTTACAGGGTGAGAAGTCTTCACAGACTTTATCAATTTTAAAAATATAATTAAGAATTTTTGAATATATACAAAAAGATTTGTGATCGTCCCCCGGTCTTGGAGGGACTGATTGCAGTTTTTAATTTGTCCTTGCACTGTAAAACCAATGATTGCCCAAATGTCTACAATATCTCAGTGTTTTACATGTGTTAATTTTCACATTGTTTGGATTTATACAATCATGTTTACAAACCCTCCCGGGGGGGTTTGAACCCGGTCAGAGAGTCTCAAAACTCCGACCGTCGGTTGCCACTGGACCCGCAGCCACAAAAAATTTTATCCAAAATAGGTATATTTCTTTTCACCATAGGAAGGTTTGCACAGGCACCACCGTGACCACAAAAGGAAATTTTTTCAGACGAATTCCGTTAGCGTGACCGTGGAAAAATTAGCTCAAGTCCCCCCAAAGCAGTTAACGGGGCTCACGACTGGGTTCAAATCCCACCCCTGGTATGGTTTTTTGAATTTTTTGTCTTACGATTTCGTGAGTCAGTGCAACAAAAAATCACAAACTCGTACAAATTTTTCATGACGAATACAAAATATATATTCTTTTCCCACAACAAAATGTCTTTAATTCTTATGGGAAAAATATTTCAAGTTCAAAACCCCAAAATTTCAAACCTCAAAGTTACAAAAATCAAAGTTACAAACCTGATTCTCGTCCATCAGTAAGAAAATGAAGATTCTTCCAGTGTGGACGATCAGAACATTCTATCTTGGTGAAAGCTTCTTTCATCAGGTTGAAGTTACAGATGTAAGTCATATCTACACATCCAGCTTTTAATCTGCAATGAAGTGACTTTTGTGGACATGATTGCGTTTTGAACATGATTAAAGGTTATACAATCCAGAGCTGGATTAAGGGGTTTTAGGGGTTGCAGCTCAGCGTCCATCGTGTTGCTATTTTATAATATTAATCTCCAAAGGTTACCTAATTGTTGCACATGTGTCCTGCTTCTCAAAGTCCTTGTTCGTCAGGAAACAGGACAAGTGTTTCATCACACGGATTAAGTAAGTTTATTTAGGCACAGAAACAAGGGCAGACCTATATTTTTGGGTCTATGAAGCATGAACTGTTATGGGGTCCCTTTTTGCAAGTCGTTCTCGTACAATAGTCCCAAAATTTTTAATCAATTTGAACTAAAATCGCCCCGAAGCTTCATTATTTTCATGGTAGATGCGCCCCTGCACAGGAACATATAAGTACAATTATGATGCACTGTGAAAATTATGTAGGATAACCCAAAAACAAGCCACTTAATGAATTTCTTGTTTGAACAACTAACGGGAATAAAATGCAGCTACTGGAGTATACCTGGAGATGGTTTCGGGGATCAACGCCCCGCCACCAGGTCCATGACCAGGCTTCACTGCGGATCAGCGCCTGATCAACTAGACTGTTGGTGCTGGTCGGATGTAAACCGAAGTATGAACCACAGCCCAGCTGATCAAGTGCTGACTTTAGTTTTCTGTCCAGCGCCTTCTTGAAGACAGCCAGGGGCCTATTGGTAATACCCCTTATGTATGCTAGGAGGCAGTTGAACAGTCTTGGACCCTTATCACTTATTGTGTTGTCTCTCTTTGTACTAGTGACTTCTCTATTTTTCATTGGGGAATGTTACATCTCCTGCCGAGTCTTTTGCTTTTATAGGTAGTGATTTCCGTGTGCAAATTTTGGTACAAATCTCTCTAGGATTTTCCAACAGTATATAAGAACATAAAGGAAAAACACTGCAGCAGGCCTACTGGCCCATGCGAGGCAGGTCCAATTTTCCTACCTACTTAAATCAACGCCCTAACCTAGCCAGGTCAGGCCACATTCACGTAAGGAAGGAGCAAGGCTTCTGACCTAGTAGCAGAAGCTGGTCAGGTCTAGCTCACACCCACCCACACCCACTTATGTATTTATCTAACGTCTTAGCTTCTCTGATGGTACTTGGGAGTTTGTTCCAATCATCCACAACTCGATTACCAAACCAGTGCTTTCCGATATCCTTCCTGGTAATATTATCATGCATTATTCTCGCATGCATTCCAGGATATACAAATCAAGGGACTTCAGCCATTCCCAGTAATTTAGATGCTTTTCTACATAAGCGGATCCACTGACTGGATTCGTTGCAAAAATAAATGAACCAGTGGTAACATTGTCTCATATAAATTCCCAATATACATATATTTATATATATATAAATAATAATAAATATATATATATATATAATAGTATGATATATATATATATGTATTAAAGGTTAGTAGGATGGTAGAACACAACACCACCCAGGAAGTACTGCCGTCCTGCCCGATGGACTGAGGAAACAGAAACCTCTAACTGTTTTACATGATGGTAGATTGGCTGGTTTCTTTTTCTGTCTCATAAACACGCTAGATAACAGGGATAATCTGCTACTCCTACTACACTTTGGTCCACATTTCAAAGACAATGCACATGCATATGGTATATATTATATGATATATTATATAAATACATCTAGGTTTTTTCTCCTTTTTATTATTTTATTTTTTTTTTTTTTTTTTTTTCTAATAGCTCTTGTTCTTCTATTTCTTCTATGTCCATGGGAAGTGAAAGAATCTTCCCATCCGTAAGCCATGTGTGTCATATGAGGCGACTAAAATGCCGGAGCAATGGCTAGTAACACACTTCTCCTGTAGACATTTACTAAAAAAGAGAAGAAGAAAAACTTTATAAAACTGGATGCTTGAAGTGCGTGATTAGTGTGGATGACAAGAAACAGATAATTTGCAGATGTTATGAATGAAAAGAAGTTGGATGTCCTGGCCCTAAGCGAAACAAACTGAAGGGGGTAGGGAGTTTTCGGTGGGGGGACAATAAATGGATTAAATCTTGAGTATCAGAGAGAGTTAGACAAAGGAAGGGGTAGCATAATATGGAAGGATCATTAATGGAAGGAGAAAAGAGAATATTGGAATGTGTAATTCAAGCAATTATGTGGATTAAATAAACGGTTGCTTTGCAATCTCTGTGGTAAATGGTCCCAAACGAGATACATCTGCATGAGAAATGACTCTATCTTAAAAGACAATGTGGCATGCGAAGAATATGTAACTTTAATCGCGCATGTACAAAACCCTCATTTACCGCTATCTCCCCGAACCAGCGAACCAGGTGACGAGAGTTAACGAAACGGCCCCATCGTCAACTCTCAGTCACCTTGTTCGCTGGTTGGATGGAGATAACCTGTAAATGAGGTATGTAATGCGCCGAATAAAGTTACATCTACACTTTACACATGCCACACAAACGCCCCACCCCGAGAATGCTCCAAGGATAGGCTTGCCATCTCCCAGTGGTAACCGTGCCTGCCATGGCACAAAATAATGGGACCTGACCTTGTCCTCTCAACCATCCAACTCTTAGAGCTCAGCTTTTTCACGTGACAAAAGCCAAACCCTAAACTCAGAGTGAGACAGCAGACATCGGCTAGCTTAGTTCCAAGACTATCAGCGACGGTAACCTCCGCATTTCTTCGCAAAAAAAAAAAAAAAACCCACACACCAGGGGATAAAGCAAAAGATTACTGTATACTGCACCCATTCTTTTGTCTCCAGACTTCTCCAACCCTTTTCCATTACAGGTTGATGCTTGTGAGCCTGGGGTTGGGGCAGTACTATTGCAAAACGGGAACGAGGAGTTTGCAGCCTGTAGCCTATTTTTCTGCTAAATTCCAGCCAACGCATCAGAGGGCTTACTCAACTATTGAAAAGGAAGCCTCGCGCTGGTACTGGCTTTAGAGCATTTCGATGTTTATGTGGGCCAGACATCGCAGGTGGTCAGTGGAAAATTACATTTAGCTGAATGTATAATTATTTACATAACAGTGAATGAACAATGATAACTATTATTTATCATTTAGACAAGTAGGTAATTTGGGACACTTAGGTCGGCAAAAAAATGCCCCCTTCGATACCTACCACTGTCATATCCACAAGTTGCTTTGGACCTATTAATTATAAATGAAATATACATACACCAGGAATACTGGTAAGAGGTATATAAATATGTGGACTGTATTATTAAAAATAATAAATGGTTATATATATAAAATATATAATATATATATAATAATATATATATATATATATATATATAATATATATATATATATATAAAATTATATATACACATGCATATATAATTATATACATACATCGTAGGATTTTTCTTCTTTATTTCCTAAATAGCTATTGTTCAATTTAATTCTTCTATTGTCCATGGGGGAAGTGAAAAGAATCTTCCTCCGTAAGCCATGCGTGTCATATAAAGGCGACTAAAATGCCGGGAGCAATGGGCTAGTAACCCCTTCTCCTGTAACATTTACTAAAAAATACGAGAAAGAAGAAAAACTTATAAAACTTGGGATGCTTAAATGTGCGTGGATGTAGTGCGATGACCAGACACAGAACATTGTTGATGTTATTAATGAAAATAAGTTGGGATGTCCTGGTCCCTAAAGCGAAACAACGCTGAAGGGGGTAGGGGAGTTTCGGTGGGGGGAAATAATGGGATTAAATCTGGAGTATCTGAGAGAGTTAGAGCAAAGGAAGGGGTATCAGTATATGTTAAGGCTCATTTATGGAAGGAGAAAAGAGAATATGAAATGTTAAATTTCAAGAATTAATATGATTAAAGTAAAGGGTTGGATGCGAAAAAGTGGGTCATAATAAGCGTGGTATGCACCTGGAGAAGAGAGGAATGTAGAGTAAAGAGAGAGAGAGCGAGATTTTGGGAGATATTAAGTGAATGTATAGAGCCTTTGAACCAAGTTGAGAGAGTAATTTGTTGGTAGGGACAGAATGCTAAAGTAGGAGAAACTTTAGAGAGGGTGTGGTAGGTAAGTTGGGGTGCCAGGTGTAAATGATAATGGAAGCCCCTTTGATTGAACTTTTGTATAGAAAAGGGGTTTAGTTATATGTAATACCATATTTTAAGAAAAAGAGATAAATAAGTATACAAGATAAGATGTAGGGCGAAATAACAGTAAGTTTGTTGGATATGTTGTTATTTGGTAAATAAAGACTGTTGAGTATGACTTCAGGATGTATCATGTTTATAGAGGGGCCACAGATATACAGACCACTTTCTAGTTGTAGCTACACTGTGAGTAAAAGGTAGATGGGATACAAGGAGAAATGAGAAGCATCAGGGACGAGAGAGGTTGAAGGTTTATTAAACTAAAAAGGAGCAGTTAGAGTAAGATATAACCAGCTATTGGAGGATAGATGGAAACTAATGAGAGCATAGGCAATGGGGTCGAGAGGTATGGGGTAGGTTTAAAAAATGTAGTGTTAGTGTGTTGTCAGCAGAAAGGTTGTGGTTACAGGAAAGTGGTGCGGGAGGGAAGAGGAGCGATTGGTAGAATGATGTAAGAGAGTAGTAAGGGATAAAAAGTTAGCATATGAGAAGTTTTTACATAGAGAAGTGATGCAAGAGGGAAGAGTATATGGAGAAGAAGAGAGAGGTTAAGAAGAGTGTGAAGCAATGTTAAAAGAGAGCAAATGAGAGAGTTGGGTTAGATGTTATCCACAATTTTTGTTTGAAAAAAAGATAAAAGTTTTTGGAGTGAGATTAAACAAGTTAAGGAAAAAAAGCCTAAGAACAAATGGATTTGTCAGTTAAACATAGGAGAGGAGAGTCATTAAATGGGTGACTCAAGAGAGTATCAGTCTGTAGTGGAAGGAAGCGGGGTAGGGGTCGCTTTAGGAAAGGTGGAGAGGGGTAAAGGAGGTTTTGTGTGCGACGGGC